CAAGCACTATTTAAACATATAAACACACACAAAACTCATCATTACACACACTCAAAACCCATTTATAAACACACCCAAAAAGTTGACTTTGGGGTTGATTTTGGGTGTGTTTCTATGTTTAAATAGTGCTTGGGTTTTTTTATAAATACATATCTAGAATTGGGTTTATTTATAAATTTGTATATTTTTTATGTATTGTTTGAATATGGTAATTAGTAGTTTTTACATATATGATCCTAGGAGAACGGGAGTATTATATAAGGCAAGGATTTTTTTTCCGACTTGCCATTGAAAGGATAGACTACTTTGACAATTTGATGACTAAACTCTTATATGCAGAGCAGCTCGCCTAATCCTTACATTTAGAAGATCAAATTGCATAACTAGCTTATTTTAAAAGAAAATCCTTTTAGTTGTTTTCAATAAATTGGATATACATCTACTTTCTTATAAGAAACCAATTATAGTTTGTCTTGTCTCTTTCCATTGACGACTTCAGGTTTTGTGGACTTAAAAAGCTCTTCGAGCACGCTATGGGCATGCTAGACTGCAGTTTGAGTATTAAAAGAGGCTGATTAATTAAGGACTAACTTGAACTTTGAGTCATGTCATATAATTCATTCTTAATGTGACATTTTTTCAATCAAATGAGTCGCACCCCACAATTTACTACGAATTTGAGAAATTTTTGTATAAGTGGAGATCACTTTTTTGGATGTGGATAAAAGTCCCTTGCTCCCCTTGCACATATTATAATTTTTTTTGTAATTGAATGCAACTTTGATGACGGAAGCACTAATTACAGATGGGTGCACTGATGATAAACCATGAAAACTTGAAAGGAAAAGAAACTCTCCACCATGGTAAATTCATGAACACAACCAAAAATAAAGTACAGTAGCAACCACCAACACAAGCAAAAAAATAATGATAATAAAAAATAAAAAATCACAGCCCTATTTGCCTATCTTCTGATAAACAAGTAAAACTTAATGGAGTTAGATTTTGACCCTTTCACCATAATGAATACAAGAAGAAATTAACAATTAACCCAAAGAAAATAGTAAAAAGTGAGTCATACAATATTGTGTTAAGAAATTTCCTTAATTAGCTTATGTTTTAAGAGCATCTCCAAGGGAGATGTCAAATACCAAACATCAAATTTAAATTTGATGGTCGATGTGGCAATTTGACATCTTACACAATTTTACACTTCACTCGATATGTCAAATTAAATTAATATTTTATTACATTTTAGTATTGATTTATTTTTAATTAAAAAGAAAAGAAAATAATAAATAATAAAATATTCATTTGACATCTTTCTTTTCGGATGTCAAAAATAACATCTCAACCTCCGGCCTTCATTCAACATCAGCTTTGACACATTAGTTGGAGTGATGTGAGATGTTATTTCTAACTGTTAAATGTCTATGTGACACTTTTGACACATCAGTTGGAGATGCTCTAAGGAGACTCGAACTTTGACATCTCTTCTAATATTGAAAAGAGAAATTACTTTTTGCTTTTTCTTCTTTTGGCTTCGGCCATCCCCGTAACCCAAAAAACAAAAACAAAGATAAATTGCATTATACCAAGAACTATGAATGATAACCTATTATTCCACATAACTTCAACTATAATCGCCTGCATATATACGTACATGTGTAATAATCCAAATCTGAATAGGAGATAGCATCCCACATCAAACCCAGATGTTAGCTGTTTTCTATTATATTTACCTACCCACTTTGACAAAATTTAGAAAAAAAATATTATTTCCGAAGGTTACTTGGTTGAATAATTAATATAATATCACAAATTCAAAGCGTTAATTACTTGCCGGCAAGTGATTTTTTATTTTTTATTTGCTTCCAGTCACAGTCAGAAGAATAAACAAGCAAAAAGTTGTAACAATTATTCCTGTTAAAAGCTATGGTAGCACTCAGTGAATGGCACATAGACTGGCCCTATTTCATAAAAAAATTCCTAACAAGATTGTTTACTTGATCTTAGTCAACCCATAAGCTAGATTAACCAACAAAGTAAGGTAAGGTAATAAGTGCTTAGGTTTTATAATATACATTGACCAAAAACTAAACAGCTTCCCTAATCTACTGGGTAGGCAAAGATGGCCCGGTACTTTTGTTCTAAATTTAATACTGGGCCAGAGAGCTGAGATGCACAAAATCTGGGTTTGGTTGGTCAATGTCCCCCAAAAAAAAAAAAAAAAAGAAACTTGTGCAGGTGATGTCTTCTTCTTTGGTACAAAAATTAATGGTGACCAACCAAGCGTGAGATATGACAAGTTTATCCACTGTAGCAGCTAACTAGAAACTAATCCAATCAATGACCAAGTGGAAAATTTGGGGACTATCTATTGCCAACTGTGACCTGATAACAGCATGCCATTTCCCAATTAATTGCAGCAGAAATCTAATAAATTGGGAGTTTGGTAGGTTTGGCATCGGTTGTGCGGGTTAGGAGTTTTTTTCATTTATGGATAGGAAAATATATCATTAGATTCAGAGTTAATTAATTGTACATGGCTCCACATGTCGCGTGTTGTCCACGAAATGTTACACCATACGTGTTAAAATGCATGATTTGTTAAAGGTTTTAATATAAGCGAGTGATATCGAGAGAGAGGAAAATCAAACATAAGACTTCAAGTGCAAGAGCAAATACTCTTAACCAGTTAGCTACAAACCTCTTGGATGGAAGGAACGGTTCTTAAACATGAGAAAAATATGAAACTTTCGACAATATATGTGGTTGGGTTGACATTATTGGTTTCAAATCGTGTTAAGCATGAAAGAGACCACATAATTTCCTGTCAAAACTTCAATTAACACAGGGCCACCTCCCGCCTACAAAATAAAAAATGCACAACTTCAAAGAAACTGGTCAATCAAAAATCTCTCCAAGCCAAACACCCTTCATTTTCAGGTCTAATCAGTAAAATGCCTGCCTGGCGAGTGGCCACTATCAACATGACAGAAGCTCCTGTGTTTGGCTTTACGTCCCCCTCCCCAACCGTCTAAGTTTTTTTTATATTTTTATTTTTTATATTTATAAATAAAATAAATAAGTAACAGAAGCTTACGAGCTTTGACTCAAGTGGCATGGAATGATGAAACGGTTAAGGCATAAGAATCACATTATTTTTATTCAAGGGAAAAATTGCAACTCTTTTTGTTTTTTTGTTTTGGCTTCAAAGTGTCATATGATTGTCTCTTAAAATGTTCAACCTCCCATTACAGCAGCAAATGAAGAGTTTTCTCACTTCACCCTTATGAACTGAATGTAGTCAGCTTCTTCAAAAACGTTGACGGATTTCAGTTCATAGAGGCAGTTAAAAGGAAAAAGAATCTAGACCTCAATTTTGAGGGCTTCATATCTCCTTACTGCAGTTCCCTGTACATCGTATAGGGCTCAGAACTAAAAGTACTATAGGCCAAACAGATCAGAAGAAACAATGAAGAGATGAACCCGAAAGGAGAGTTTTATTTCCTGCACAGACAATCAAACAGTCAGTCAAGCATGCTCTCCGTGAAAATGCCCGCGCACACACACACACACATACACACGCTTGAGCACGCGCACGGAAAAAGAAAAGAGAGGGGTGATAACCTTGATCCTTCAGTAGTTTCTTCAGTTTTCCATACTATATCTTGTAAACCTGATGAGAAGTTTTTGTAGAACTGCAGCAATAGACATTTAGAAGACAGAATCAGTCAATGGCAACTTGCCCCTTGATAAATAAAAAGAGTGCCTAAAATGGTCTTGTTAAATTTGTGAGAAAAAGGAAGGCAAATTGAAGCAGAACAATAACAAATTTGTTGCATTTTATGGTTTTTGTTTCCTTTCTTTTCCTATATCTTCCCACAAACTACAAAGGTCAAAACGAAAGTGTTGGCTTGCCTTGTGAAATTCTAGTGTGTCGCCGCCAGTTTTGCGAAGCTCTACCATGTGCACAGAAGGTGCAACTTCGAACACCTCAGTGGCTACAGAGAGGTGGCCCTTCCTTCCGTGTTTGTCACCTTGCAACTTCATCTGCAATTGTTTGGAATTAGCAAAGATATTGCTTGGAACTTCTAAACACAACAGGAAGCTTGTTCTGATAAGATGACTAGCATATTAAGTCAAGTCCGATAAAGAGTAAAATTCACATACCTTGTAGTTTTTCTTGTGAACATTAAACCCCAAAGGCTTTGCAGCTTCCTCAATTTTATTCATGATTTCATTTGCAGGGCGTTGAGAAGTAAAACGGGTTTCTCGTTTCACATGACCCTGTATAGTACGGAATTCCAAATGATCAGAATGCAGCAAATCACTAGCAGAATAACTTTGGGCACTATAAAGTAATATAAGGCCCATTGAGACTAAGCATGCTCTTAATTCAACAAAACCTAGAAGTCCCAAAACACCATTTGCCCACACCCTTGATTTTCTGATGATCCTAACTTTTACAGGGTTCCTTAGTTTCTGCCTGGCTAGCAAAATTGGAACAGAACATGTATTTCGCAACTATAGTTATAGCGCCGCATTGAAAACATTCATAACAAGAAATTAGGAAAATGTTATGCTACGTACCGTTTGCTTCTCAAATAAATTTTCCAGATTGAAACTCTTTGACCTAGAAATAAGCTCAAAAGCATTCATTGATACAGGTTTCTCTTTCCTTTCTGTTACAAATTTTTCCTGCAGCAAAGAAAAAAGAGAGAGACTATTTTAGTGTGAAAACTAAAAAATAATGCGATCAACCACTCAAATTTTTTAAAAATCTTCTGAATAAATTGAACTAAAGAAATGCATGGTTTAGAGAATAAGTTGACTTCTGTCCAATTCTAACCTTCGAGTTGTCGAAAACAGCATCTACATCATCAAGATTTACATCCTCTTCCTCTTGAAACTGTGCTGGCTTGTAGTCTTTCTTAAACCATTCATTTTCTAAGATCTCGGGAATTGTTATCCGCTGGCACACACGCAGAAAAAAAGAAGTTAAAGAACACCTAGCCAGGCAAATCTTTAGTAAAAGATGGTATGCATTTAGATATTATATGCCCATTCTCATATCAAAATGGCCTCAAATAATGATGTTCAAGAACGTACGTGCAGAAATAGCTAGTACTTATAGAATTTCAGCACTGAGAAAAGGTTTGGGAGCTCACTGTAACAGGGTTTGGATCAAGTATACGCTGTATCAGTTTCTTTGCACCCGATGAAAACCATGATGGACATAAAAATTCAGCTTTGCAGATCTGAAATTAAGAGTAGGCAATGCACTCATAAGTTAGTCATATGAGATTCCCATCATTTAAACAGAGGAAGCAAAACTTGGCTACATACTTTTCTGTACAGCCCTATAAGATTTGGTTCATCAAAAGGCAGGTAACCAGCCATAAGCACAAAGAGAATGACCCCACAAGACCAAATATCAGATGATGTACCCTCATAACCTTTGTTATTGAGCACCTAATACAAAAATGACAAATGTGAGAAATAGTTATAAACAATTAAGCACCACTGCAATGACCTATTTTCCTGCAATGAAAAAGCCAGAAGCAGATACCTCAGGAGCAACATAATTTGGAGTTCCACAGGCAGTATGAAGCAGCCCATCTTCCTGCCAAAAATACAAATAAGATATGATAAAAATGAAACACAACATTACACAGTATCAACACAATGTCTGACTTAAATCTCTAATCAACTTAACAACAAGGAATTAAACATCATAAAGCTTTCTCGCAAAAGTTTCACTCACCCGCACTTGCTGTTCGAACGTACTCAGTCCAAAATCTGAAATTTTAAGGCGGCCACACGAATCTAGAAGAAGATTTTCGGGCTTCAAATCTCGATGGTACACGCCTCTGCTATGGCAGTAATCGACAGCATTGATGAGCTGCTGGAAGTATCTTCTGGCATCATCCTCTTTCAGTCTCCCATTTTTGGCCTAGCAAACAAAAGGCTTATAATAAGGGAATGCTTTATAAAGAGACATAACACTTGTGTCCACTGACCACATAAGTAAGAAAGCAAGAACAAACTACTCAAATAAGAAGAGTATTTTGCAACCCCAAGAATGTAGGTTCAAACAACAATTGCTTACTATTTCGTCAAAGAGCTCACCCCCATCAATAAACTCGAGAACAATGTAGATCCTAGTTTTGCTTGCCATGACCTATATTCATAATAACCCAAATGAAGATTTCAATAAAAGAATGCTGCTTGAACAAAAATAAAATACAAGTGATTGGGATTGTTGCTGATGGTACCTCAAACATTTGTGTAACATTAGGGTGTTTGATCAGCTTCATTGTTGATATCTCTCTTTTTATCTGTCAATATACAAAACAAATACAACAATTAGTGATCTTCGACCCAAAAAAACAATTTGTGATCGATGTCTTGTCTTCATTCTCATGCTGAGCACATGGTAAATAATATATATATTAAAAAATAAATTATTGAACAAATTTCATTATTCTTTTCTTTTATCACCTCACCTACCAAGGCAATAAAAAGTTATAAATAAGTATATAAAAAATAAATAAAAACAAAATTAATCTTTCACTAACTCATGTTTGGCAATTGCAAACACAGATTTCTACTAAAAAAACTTGTAACCTCCCATCAAACCCACCATATTAACATGTCTAATTACCAAATACCAAACCAGAAAAATTCACATGCACCAACCACAATATTCCGCAACACAATGATCACCAGCTTCAACTAAACTGAATTCCCATCTCTTACCATGAAGCATTCGAGTGGGTCCCATTGCCACCCCATTCATAAGCAGAGATGCTTAGGGGAGAGAGAGAGAGAGAGAGAGAGAGAGGCATAGATACGTACGTGTTCGACCATCTTGTGCTTGAGGACTTGCTCACGGTCTACGATTTTGATGGCCACGCACTTTCCAGTCTCCATGTTCTTAGCAAACTTGACCTTGGCAAAGGTGCCCTCCCCCAGAGTTTTTCCTAGCTCGTACTTCCCAACCCTGGTTCTCATCCTCGGGGACTTCGCCGCCGCACTCATCTTCTCCATCCCCCGTCCGATCAAGATCACACGGTCCCGAGACAGAGTATTCAATGATAAGGGGTCTACTTAGTATAAGCTGGTGTTTGTTTCAGCGTCTGCTGGGTTTGGGTTGGGTTGGGCTGGTTTGGGTGGCAAAGAGAGCGCGCGCGCGCGAGAGAGAGAGAGAGAGAGTAGCATATGATGAAGAGATGAAAATGGAATTGGGAGATTACGGTGTTTTCGTTATCGTGTTGAGAACGTGTGGGGCCCATCAGAGGGAATGATAACGATGATGATGATGCAAAGCCACCACATGACTCCACCAATCAGCCACATGTTTCTGATATTCTCAAGTTTCCATGGCTGTCCTCTCTGCCTCATTTCATCAAAGATAATTGTCTATTTTTTCATATTTTCCCAAAAACACCCTTCTTTAGAGGAATTTTTTTTTGGAGTTTCACTAAAACATCCAAAATAGGAGCTGAAATTATAAAAAAAAACTCAACACCCAAAATACTTTATAAACACACTCAAAATCCATCATTACACACACTCAAAACCCATTTATAAACACACCAAAAAAATATACAATTGTTAACTTTGGGGTTGATTTTGGGTGTGTTTCTATGTTTAAATAGTGTTTGAATTTTTTTATAAATACATGTCTAGGATTGGGTTTATTTATAAATTTGTAAATTTTTTTTTACGCCCGTTGTTAATTTGGACCCTATTTTACTGGTCGCAGAGTTATTCGCGCTTCATCCAAACACAACAAAAATGGAAAGCGTAACTGACGCTTTGAATTAAAGTTAAACCTATTTATGGTTTGTGTTACGTTTCATCCACCATTAATTCATTGTAATTATTTAAAAGATAAAAAGTTGATGAGTGTGATCGTAACACCACATGAAATGCTAACCTAACTTTACAAATCAATCAGATGAATTATACGTATAATCTGGGAACCATCCTTTCATTGTAGTATTGGTGCTCACCCAATTTATTGGTGTTCAATTCATTAGTTTGTTTGGACCAGGGCAATAGTGTAATTGTGAGTAAGACCAGATTGCTAATTACGTAGGAGAGACAAAAGATGTTGATAAGCAAGACTTGAGGTCTCTCGTGCAATAATTGAGAAACGCGTCACTCACTCAGCCGCATTGACATGCAAAGGTGAAATTGAGATAATATTATTTTGTTATTTCATACTAATTATGGACACACGTCACGTGAGATAACTTTTTTACATAACAGCTTGTGATTGGATGAAAATAACAAAACAATATTATCTTTATTTCATACAAGTGTTTTTCAGCACACAAATATATATGGATTCAATGGTTTTGACAAGGGGACCAGGGACGGACCCACAGTGGGGTCAATGGGGTCAAACGACCCTATGGACTCCAAGCAAGTAAGGTAGAAGGTCCCTTTGAATTGGGGTGTGACCCCATGAAAGGCTGAAGAAGGAGTTGCAGGTACTGAGGAAGAAGAAGATGAATAGAAATCTGTTTTTTTTTTTTTCAAAATAAGCTGGCCAAAACGGCGTCGTTTTGGCCCCGCCTCTCAATTTTTTTTTTAAAAAAAAGGCCAAAA